AAATAGTTTGCTTAATTTGATACTAAAAAATAAGGAAACCATCTTTAAGGACCTTATTCAGTCAGTACTTTGTCAACTTAGGGTATTGATGTGATTAAATCCTTACAATCTATTCATTTCCTAACATCGCATTATATTTCCCTTTTGTTTGGTGCTTTGGTTGGTTGGTGCCTTTGTTGATGGTTGGTTGTTGCTTGTTAGTTGGTTGGTTGGTGCCCTGGTTGTTAGTTACTTGGTGCCTTGGTTGTTGGTTGGTTGGTGCCTTGGTTGTTAGTTGGTTGGTGTTTTGGTTGTTGGTTGGTTGGTGCCTTGGTTGTTGGTTGGTTGGTGCCTTGGTTGTTAGTTACTTGGTGCCTTGGTTGTTGGTTGGTGCATTGGTTGTTAGTTGGTTGGTGTCTTGGTTGTTGGTTGATTGGTGCCTTGGTTGTTGGTTGGTTGGTGCCTTGGTTGTTGGCTGGTTGGTGCCTTGGTCGTTAGTTGGTTGTTGGTTGGTTGGTTGGTGCCTTGATTGTTGGTTGGTTGGTGCCTTGGTCGTTAGTTGGTTGTTGGTTGGTTGGCTGGTGCCTTGGTTGTTAGTTGGTTGGTGTCTTGGTTGTAAGTTGGTTGGTGTCTTGGTTGTTAGTTGGTTGGTGCCTTGGTTGTTAGTTGGTTGGTTGGTGCCTTGGTTGATGGTTAGCTGATGTTTGTTTTATTTTGTTGTTGGTTGGTTGGTGCCGTGGTTGATGGTTAGCTGATGTTTGTTTTATTTTGTTGATGGTTACTATTTGGTTGGTTTAAAGGTTTAGAAATGGCTTTGATTGTGATCTAAAGGCTTTGTTGAAATATTGTAACCTTTAAAAAAATTGACTTAAGTCGAGTTAAAGATTCAAAATGGTTGTAAACTACGTTCGTGTGTGTTATTTCCATCTAAGAACCATACCTAGTTTCGTATGATCAACGTATGGATTAGGGATTATAATTTGAATTTGCGAGTACTTGAAGTGCAAAGTCCTCAAGAGACAACTTTTTAGTCCATCAGATAACTTGTTATGATAATCAATATATTTGTCCTCAGATATATAATATTATACAATTAATAAGTAAGTTAAAGGCTGCATCCCACATACAAAAAGTACTTACTGGATCCACGGACGTCTGATCGAAAATTAGAATGGTGCAAATTGATGCTATCAGTGTCCCTGATACACATAAAAAAAACTAGAAAACCTCTTTCACAATCTCTTTAAGGGTGACATTAGACTTGAACAATAAGACTTAATTTTTACATACCGATATCAGATCTAAGTGGGAGAGCTACTTTAATGTTTTTTCTCTATCTGATGCAACATTTCAATATATATGATATCAGATCTAACTGGGATAGCAACTTTATATTTAGAAATGTAAAAAAAGAAACATAATTTTCATAAAAGAATTTTAAAGTAGATTACATTGCGTTCACATATTTTTAAAGAAAGCATACCCCATAGATTTTATTGAATTTATTCTTATATTTGTTGTATATATTTCCTGAAGTTGATTATTTGGAAAATAGATTTAAGAATTTGAATTAATATTTAACCCACTCATGTCAATGACACAATATTGTTCAAATTAAAGATGGATTCCCTTATTTTTATTAATGAAAATGAAAATGCTAATACTTAAAAGAAACGGAATAACCGAAGCTCCATTTGATCGAATAAGAATGAGTGAATTAACCCACAGAAAATAAAGGAAACATTGTTTTATGCTATATATGTTATTTAGATTAGAATAAGTGAAACAACCCAAAGAAAATAAACGAAACAATATATGAAAGGCCGTGTTTTTAATTGGATGACTTAGTTAAAGATGGGTTCCCTTATTTTCATTTATGAAAATGTAAATGCTAATACTTATATGAATAGAAAGTAGAGGTGTTCTAATGACTTGGAAAAATACCAGTGTCCATAATTAATTCATAATTAGCTAAATTAGAAGAGAATTACCAGCAGAATTCCAATGAGTGACCGATCAAGAAAGGTCAAAAAGTCTTGGTTTATTGTCCTATCTGAACGACTAGACGCTTTTTCCATGCCAGCCCTCTTACCTGCATCACTGACATCATCCGAAGGTTTTATCTCAACCTATGCCAGGATCGAACCCTGCACCTTCAGGTTAATCATTGGTTGTACCAACCTCTAATAAGTTACCCTTATCACTTGTAAAAATGAAAATCTGACGTGAGGTTTTAATTTCGGAATAGAACATGAAATGAGATGGAACGATTAGATGGATATATCCCTTTCAAGTCATTGCCTACCTGCAAGGTTCTCTAGATTATCGCCTGGACATCCAGCTCCGCCATTGGATGGTTTGGGACAGTCACATGACCTGGTACGGCTGTACTGATTGGTTGAATTCAAATTAGTCTCGAACCAAAGCGACCACGCGCACCATTGGCCTGTGATCATATCTGAAATTGAAAAGTATCTATTTCATTCATTCATTCATTCATTCATTCATTCATTCATTCATTCATTCATTCATTCATTCATTCATTCATTCATTCATTCATTCATTCATTCATTCATTTTTATTCATTTATTCATTCATTCATTTTTATTCATTCATTCATTCATTTTTATTCATTCATTCATTCATTTTTTATCTCTTCCGTCAATAAAAGTTTGATGACGTCACTAATTGCAAAATATGCTATATCACATAAAAATAATATATAATTATTATCAATATTTCATACGGCCCATGGGGATTAGTGACGTCATCAACACATAATCTTTACAATCCATTTAAACCCAGCCCCTTTGTATTTCCTCTTTGAACGCTATCTATTATGTCAAGGGCAATATTTCATCTCAATCATTCATTCCCGTCTTCACTAGCCTACACGGTGCAGAAAAGTAGGACGTAAAAATCCATTCAGTTCATTTTATTCATTCATTCATGCATTCCTTCCTTCCTTTATTCAATCTTTTATTCATTCTTTCTTTCATTCCTTCATTTCATTTCATTTCATTCATTCATTCATTCATTCATTCATTCATTCATTCATTCATTCATTCATTCATTCATTCATTCATTCATTCATTCATTCATTCATTCATTCATTTATTTATTTATTCATTTCTTCCTTCTATCCTTCAATCCTTTATTCATTCATTTATTCATTCCTTCCTTCCTTCCTTCTATCCTTCAATCCTTCATTCATTCATTCATTCATTTATTCATTCATTCCTTCCTTCCTTCTATCATTCATTCATTCATTCCTTCATTTATTCATTTCTTGATTTTCTTCTCTCATTTCCTTTGCCATTCAGTCGCTTCTAATGAATGTTTACATAAACCTCGTATAATAATACAGCTTTCAATACAAGTTTATTACACCGCTTTGTTCCTGGTAGGAAATTGCCGGTACTTATCAGCTGGTTCGCTACAGGCCAAGAAAAGCGGCGTCGACCCAGGTTAATTACGTTCTAGATTAGTCCAGGTATTCAGGATTTAACAAAGGTATGTGAGTTATAAATAATGAACCCTTGATTAAGCATCTAAAGGCATATTAGGTCTGTTCTTTCTAGATTAGTCCAGGGACAAAAGGATTAAAGGGATACTACCTCTTAGAATGGACATAAGATTTAAAGTCTCAAACTTGGTCAATAAGTGTATATATTCCTCAGTTGGACTTACCAGGTGTCATGACTAAAGAATAGAATCTCTCTATAACACGATATATCTATTAAACTAAGTACTTATTGAAAAACGCTTCTAAGCGTGTTTCAAAATTACTTAGTTTAATGAATTATTACTTAAATGTATAGTTTTGGCCCATTGAGAAAGAAAAAAACAACTATATTTTACAAGGATAACAACTTAGGTTCACAATTAAGGATCCTTTCTACTAGCTGATCCTTGACCAAACCTCTTGGCATTGATCTTTCCTGGATTATCCGTACCCATTTACAGCTGGATCAACTTAAACCACAGGAAAAGATGACTTATTCAATATCACAAGATTTTTTATTCGTTGAGCGAGATTAGAACCCACGACAACAAAAAGACGTGCGTTTCGGATTATAGCACTGAAGAGTTCATTCGGCGACAAAAGGCGACGATCTTTAATGAATTTCCCCCAAAGAGAATTGAAAGATGGTTTTATATGAAAACCCGAATCAATAATATGTTTAGTTGCGATAATTAAATGTTTATTAGGCTATTATTTGTTGTTCGGTGACTTTTCTGCTTTATCTGGCTAAAAGAAAGCCATAAATATGCCATCGATGAAAAACGCGTAAAACCGACAATGGGATTAATGGAGCGGAGTCGCTCTGTCGTGGTCAATCCCGGGCGATTTCTGTGTCGTAGTGGACTGACGCCTGTTTAGTTTTCTTAAACTTATTAACAATGGATGAATTACTTATTTGACACGTTGGGGTTTTCACCTTTTTTTCTTTCTACAATTCTACTAAAATTTAGTGTTTGATGACGTCACTAATCGCAAAATATGCTTTTATCACGTAAGGCCCTTTGCGATTAATGACGTCATCAAACACTTAGTTTTAGTGGAATTACAGGAATCACAGACGTCTGATTGAAAATTGGAATGGTACAAATTGATGCTATCAGTGTTCCAGATACACGTAAAAAAAAATTAGAGAACTTCTTTACCATCCCGTTAACTGGTCCGTTCTCGGATTTGGTACTAACAAAGGTTCTTACCTATTTCCCAAGAAGCCGTTTCCGTACTGGACACTGTCATGTATTGAACATCGACGTTACTGGAATTATATTCCATGATCTGATAATCACCCAGAACCGCCCCAACCCCGACCTGGATGAGGCCCTTTGCCCAGCTTATCCACAAAGTTAGAAAGTCGTCGGTCGAGTTCAAGTACTTCTCGACGCGGAGCTCGTACAGATATGTACAATTGCATACATCCGGTTCGCTGGAGCAATCTGCATGAAGTTCGCTAGTTGAGTTCACGTCCGCAAATGACGAATTTTGACAAAACATAGCTGGGTCCAGAGTTGAGTTCGAATCCGCAGTTGAATTCGTATCCACGGTTGAGTTCGTATCCATGGTTGAATTTGTATCCACTGTTGAGTTCGTATCCACAGTTGAATTCGTGTTCACAGTTGAGTTCGTATCCACTGTTGAGTTCGTATCCACAGTTGAATTCGTGTTCACAGTTGAGTTCGTATCCACGGTTGAGTTCGTATCAACGGTTGAGTTAGTATCCACAGTTGAGTTTGTATCCACTGTCGAGTTCGTATCCATGATTGCGTTCGTATCCACTGTTGAGTTTGTATCCATGGTTGTCGTTTCCCCAATTGAATTCGTATCCACAGTTGAATTCGTATCCATGGTTGAGTTCGTATCCACAGTTGAATTTGTATCCACTGTCGAGTTCGTATCCACAGTCGAGTTTGTTGTTCCATTATCTGCAAAATATGGTGATGTTGTTTGAATGGTCGGGAATCTACTGGGATTCAAACACGACAGCCATGGCCCATGACTGGTGGATGACGGTGTAGTCGTTTCACAAAACGTACAGTTTTGGGTACAACAGGTGTCATTGGACGTGTACGACGTATTAGACTGCGTTGTTGCGTTGCTGCATATTATACAATTACTTTCGCAGCAATCGCTGTATCCTCCCGTAACGTGTACCGATGGTGTAACGGACGTTCCGTTTTCACTGTATGTCTCTGTTATGTTTGCAACTGGTGTGACGGACGTTGCGTTTTCGCTATATGCTTCTGTAATATTTGTCTCGGGCGTTACGGACGTTACATTTTCACCATATGCTTCTGTAATGTTTGTCTCTGATGTAGCAGTCGTAACGTTTTCAAATGATGTGACGGTCGTAACGTTTTCACTATATGCTTCTGTAGAATTTTCAAGTGATGTGACATACGTTGTCGTTACGTTTTCAGCGTACGTGACGGCCGTAATATTTCCATCTTCCGTAGAATTCGTTAGAGTTTGAGATGTTACGTTTTCGCTATATGTAATAGTACTAACGGTAGTATGGTCGCTGATTCCTAGAGTCGTAACGGTTGTTGTGTACGATTGAGCGGTAGTCGCATCGCCGACTCTAAAAACTTCACAATCGCATTCCGATACGTTGTGTGTGAATCCGAACGTAAAATTAAGATCCGAATGCTGCATTGATATATTGCTACAAGTATTATCACAAGAGGCTATAGTTAGTTGGCTTCGATCTAACTCTATGGTCACTCGTTTAGGATCCGCACTAAGATCACTGCTCGAATGAAGTCCGATTTGAATTGCAGACCGTTTTCGAACTCGGATCACTAAATTGTCATAATTTACTATTTTGACTCCCTCGATTGACAACTCCTGTGCAGAGTTGTTGGTAGAAGCTGGTATAGTTGATGCTGCATCTAAAATGAAAAGGTGGTCCGTTACAAAAGAGGAGTAGTTCCCAAAATGTGGCAGTTTGGAAGCTTAGCTAGTTGCCGAAATTCCTTTGTTAACGTCCACTTCTTTGGTTCTTTTCATTGATGGGTGTCTGTAGGGTCGGTAAAGGTGAGCTAGTCAATGCCCCTTTAAGTGGACAGTGCGCTGGTCAAAGAGATGTTTAGGCATTGTCCTTTTCAAAGTCTTGGACATTGTGCTAGGCCATGCCATTGCTACAAGTCACTGTCCTGGACGACCAGTTACCCAGTATGTCGAACGAATCTCCAAGATTGAAGACCTTCCTTTATCTTACCATTATATATTCTGTGGCAAAGACCCGGAAGCATATCGGTACAGTGGGCACTCTTCCAGAGGAAAGACCCAGTCGTGAACATCATCGTACAGGACATGTTACGACTAGCCTTGGGCTCGTGCTGCTGCCAGTGCGACCATGTGATCGGGGAATTGTTGAAGTGGTAGTCGATCCACAAAGGTTCGTCATCAGAATCTTCCTCTGATTTTTTGGCTCCGATCCACACGCTTTCAAATTCGCTGTAAATAAAGGCATGAAATGGATGCATTAGACTAATAGGCCTACACAAGGGTAAGGTCGTGCAGTGTGCAATGAAGGAAATTTATACCAGAACTCCGATGCGAAGTACCCTTTGGTTTTATAAGTAAATAAAAAGTAAAATGAACTTTTGGGACTGGTAAAGACGGAACGTCATGAACTTTGTAATGAGGGACAGCAAATCGATTTCCGGTATCAACTGTCAAGGGATCTTAACGTGCTTAACATGTCGCAAATAGTTCTCCAATATTTTATTCAATACAAACGACTAGGCTTGTTTCACATGGCCGACCTTAAAGATGGGTTCCCTTATTTTGATTTATAAAAAATGAATATGTTAATACTTATATGAATAGAAAGTAGATGTGTTTTAATGACTTGGAAAAATACCAGTTTGTCTCACATGTCCATAATTAATTCATAATTAGCTAAATTAGAAGAGAATTACCAACAGAATTCCAATGAATGACCGATAAAGAAAGGTCAAAAAATATTTTTTTGTTTATCCAGACTGTACGTACATGGACACTTATGATTGGTTAAAACTCTTAATTATATGCAATAAGAACATAATGATATGATTAAGAATACATGATAATTCATTAGAAACACCAATTAATCAAATAGTTTGCTTAATTTGACACTAAAAAATAAGGAAACCCATCTGTAATTATCAATCGGGTGAAAACTGTCATATTCCCCACCTAAGGCTTCCGTTTAGAGCTGCATGCAGTGCCAATACGGATTCCCACCCGCTGAACGTCGCCAGGTTACCATCGTGTCTTTTGCACATCTTGTTGGTTCCGGAAGCCGACTGTCTTGTGGGAATGACCCAATAGCATTTGTCAATTACGACCACGCCCTTACATGGGAAACCACCGACCAGGACTGAAACGACAAGATATTATCGACATCATGACGTCATCGTCAAACTCACACTGTCGTCACTTCCACCGACTAGAAGAGGATCTCTGATGTACGAAAAGAGCTACTGACAGCTGAAATTGAGCAATTAACGTCATTTTAAGGGCATTGTGGGATTATAGCTTCTTACACCATTATGTGACAATGTCATATGACGTCACTTCCGCAAGATCGTTTTTCTTTCATTACACATGAACCATTTGTCGGATTTTGATTTTGAAAAAAGCTACGGATAGCTGAAATTGAGCTCTATCATCTGGGACAGAATAAAATTTGGGCGAGTGTGACCCTTTGATGACACAACACTGTACTTACCGACGGGAAGAAAAAAGGTCAATGCTGCAAACTGAACAATCATTTTGACGTCGATTGCAATTAAACGAGTCAATTACCCGCAGCACTTTTAAAATCCATTTTTATAATTGAAGATCCATAATAAATTATTTATTAATATTTGTATTGAGTGAGCCATTTTTTAAATAATATTAACTTTGCTTGTTGATTCTGAAAATAAATTAATACGATTTTTTTAGGAAAGTCGCCGCAAGGGGCATATTCTGGTATATTAAAGGGACAGATGCGCAATTTTTTTTTGGGGGGGGGGGATGTTGATTTTAGTCATGAATATATGTGAATAGTCTTCAGAAGTACTAGAAAATGTACAAAAATCGCATAATTCCTTTAAAAATATCTCAAACTAGGAATTTTACTCACTATTTCTATAGATGTCTTTTCTATATATCACAGTGTCTCAAGAAAAAATGACTCGTCTTTTTAACTCTCGAACTTGGATAATTCTGGACACACATGGATTTGAAAGCTCAAATTTTTACAGTGAGCTGTGAACACTATTACTGATTGGCTTAGCTAAAAAAAAAATCCAGTTTCTGAGACTAACGTATGATTGGTCAAAATAATGACACACCTGTCCCTTTAAATCGGTCTTGGGTCGAAAAGTTACTGAGAGCAACTACATTTTTGAATAAACATTAGACAGTAAATAGATCGAAAAGAGTAGGCTAAATGTCCCTCATTGGCCACTGCATAATGTTCACGCCATTAACATAATAAGGTGCGGAAAAGAAGGGCGTAAAACTCCACCAAGGCGAATTTCTGAAATGAAATGAATAGAGTTTTACATCCTACTTTTCTGCACCATGTGGGCTAATGAAGACGGGCAGCACCATGCAGGGTGCCATGAGGGAAATTTTGCCAGGACAGCCGCATTAACCTGCTCTTTTTCGATTTCCAATTGTCGAGGGATCTTTAACGTGCACAGCCTGTAGCATACGGGGTTTCGGTTTATTGTCTCATCTGAACGACTAGACACTTTTTCCATGTCAGCCCCTCTTACCTACATCACTGACAGGGGGAAACCGGATTGAAAAATCTGAAGGCATTATCTCGAATTTGGTAACGGAAGGCAAAATAACAATAGGAAATATAACGCAGGGCAGTTGTGAATTGGAACGATGCCAAGAACCTGAAACCCCTAGTATAATTTTGGCAAAGTTCCAAACACTTCTATTTTTAGCCGGCAAAATTGTAAATGGGGCTTTTGTCGATTCAAAACACTGTCGTTACTAAGAAGTATTAGGTGTGTGTGTGGGGGGGGGGGAAAATAAGAAAAGAATCCAAGCGAGATGAGAAATATTGTTATGAAACAAAAATTAATTAGAATGGTTATTGCCAAATACAAAGATATTAAAGTATTTTAAATTAAGATTATATTTATAGTATTCTCTATTTGACTAACTAATATAGACATTTATAGTTTTTTTTAAAGAAATATCAATTTTTAAATTATTTTATTCTAACATATATGATTAACTAATTTTTTTAAATAAATGATATTCTGCGATCTCCAAACAAAAGT